ATCTTCTCCATAATGGAAATACTCTACAAGCTTCACCACATGATTTTTTCCTGAATGTCGGTTTCTATTTAACGCGTTATAGCGGTTGAACTTACGTATTCACTATGCGGTAATATGATGAATTCAAGGCTGAGGAGTATCCAATCCCTGGTGGGCATAAACCTAGCGAATGTGCCACTCTTTATCACTATCATTGGCTCTGTGCCTAACAATGAAATTCGTTTATACGCCTGCTTTCTGTTTCAGTCAGTCGATTGATAGACGTCTAGAGTAAAATGTGTCTGCCAGGTCAGGTGACGTCCTAGTGGTTCGATGGTTTACGGGTTCATCTGGTGACCCACAGGTCATTGGTTCGATCCGTGGTGGGGCGATGGGCACATACTGCTGAAGAGTCTGGAACAAGGACTAGGCGGCTGTTCAGTACTCCCCAGTCAGTTGGTGCATATCTGTGACTCTTTATATTTCAGATCACTGCTGATGGATGTTTACTGTCCTCATGCTTGCATCTAGCTGAAGGATGTGACTGCTATGAGTAAAAGGCAACATATGATAATATGAAGATGAAGAACACATATTCACCATTTTGGTACTACAGCAAAGTAAAGTACATTGACAAATGAGTTAGAACGTTAACTCACCAGGCAGTGGTGGGGCTGAATCCTTGAAACCGGTGAACAAAGGTGGTAGAAAGGATGGTGATGGGGGTTGTGAAAAGGGTGGTCGCGGAACTCGGAAACAAATTGGTGGCAGCGGTGGTTTTCGCGGAGCGTGAGGTTGAGGTGTAGGAAGGCGTCGAGTTGCAGCAGGTGATTTTGGTGTTGATTGCGTCACCTTGTAAATATCTCTACTGTCATGGTTTCTACATCTGAATATTCGACTTAGGAGAATTCCAATCTGTCGTTCTTTGTCAAAAACTCCATCACTACTCGTCCGTGTGTTTTCAGTGGCTTGTAAACCTTCAGTTGAATTTGGTGAATCTGGGGATGTTTTCATTTCCGAACCATTGGTTGACGATGATTCTACTGACGTTTCCGATGAAGCATCATTGGCGTGCTTTGATGTCTATGGAAGAAAAAGCAGGAGTGTCTTATTATTGTAGACAATATTTCATTATAATTACATGAGATATGCGGAGATGAGTGGCAAGAAAATATGGTCCCACCTAACTATGTGAGAAATACCATTCATCAAATTCGACCGTTTCTCCTCGCCTCAACTTAAAAAGCTTCGTAGAGAGAAGGAAAAACTGTATAAGATGAAAGATAGAAGTGGTGTAAAAAGAACTAACTTCTTAATTAAGTGTGAAATGCAGAGGTTGAATGTAATATATAATCAGAAATTCATATCCTGCAAAAATCCTTCTAATATGTTGAAACTATTTGAGGAAACCACTGGTGGTAAGCAGATAAACAATATTCCCTATTCTTTTGATGTATGTACTCTTAACAAATCTTTTATTTACTCTCCCTCAAATGCCATGCTTCCCAACATCACTTGTGTTAATAATAGCCCCTTTCAAGGTTTTAACACAAATGATGTTCAAAAGTGCCTCAAGTCTCTAAACCCCTCCCAGAGCTTAGGTCCCGATTATGTACCTAGTATTATTTTTTAAAATGTTCTGATATTCTGTGTCACCCTCTCACTGATCTATTTAACAAATCTTTTTCCGATAATATTGTGCCTGCCGTTTGGAAGGACATTAAAGTTGTACCCATACCTAAATCTTCTACTGGAGTATGTGTCAAATTTAGACCCATTGCTATTACATCTCCTTTTTTGAAAACTATGGAGAAGTTACTTTTACTTAGTCTTGTACCTTCGCTTAAATCCTTGGGCTGTTAACTGGTTACATTCCTATTTCTCAGAAAGAAAGCAGTACACCGTGTATATAAAGGGAAGTCTTCCACTTCATTGCCTACTGAAGCTGGTGTCCCTCAAGGCGCTGTCCTTTCTCCTTTTCTTTTTTCTTTCTTCTTGCATGACTTGCCTCACTCTGATGAAATAAACTTTGTGAAGTACGCTGATGATTTAACGGTTTCAATGGCTGTTAACTCCCAGCTAGATTGTACCAAAATAAATAGCTTTCTATAGGGAGTCAGCAAATGGTCTGAGTCTAACGGTCTTAAACTGAATCCTTCTAAGTGTCAAACTGTTGATTTCAGCTTTAGATATAAACGACAGTTAAAAGAAGTCATCGACTATCATGACAGTTGTGAAATTGACGACAATGATTTAGGAATCAAATCAGAAATTAAGTATCTTGGACTCATTCTCTCTTCTGATCTCTCCTGGTCTTCCCATGTCTAAGCAATCTCCAGTAAAATATTCCGCCTGACATTTTACATTAAGAAGTTTAGACACTCGGGTATAACTCAACCCCTACTCTTACAGTTCATAAACTCTTGCAACCTACCTATTCTTCTTTATTGTTCACCCTTATTCTTTCCTGGTTTGCTTAAAAAGGACTATGTCACAATTCGTAGAATACTGAAGACTGTCAGTAGGGTGAGTAGTGTCCCAGTGAACCACATAGTTAACGTCGTTGTCGATAGGCACTTGACTTCGTGCAATAAATTTGCTAAGGGGATTTTATCTGACTTGGAGCACCCGCTTTACCCTCAGCTTTCACCTTGCATCTCCTCAGGTAGAACAAGGAGTAACTTTAGAAAACTGTATGCTCGCACGTCTAAGTATAAAAATTCTATGATACCATACTTGGCACGTATTTTATGTGATGAAAATGGTGTCAGGCAAGAATTAACTAACCTTTTTTCATCTAGTAAATAAACAATTTCCTTCATCCATCCATCCATCCTTATATACTTTCAAGTTTTACTTTTATTATTTCTATTATATTTATGGTCCTGTTACTTTTCTGTTTTTTACCCTAAGAATTGCAAACACCAACTTTTCTCCATGACGGCTGTAATCTTTGTTTTCCCCTCACCATATCATGTAAAAAGAACACTATATTCAATATTTTTAAACATGTTAGGATTTCTATATCACATTGCCAATACTGTGTGACACAAGCCAACGGCAATTTTCACTTGTATTCTTATTATTATTATTACCCTAGCTGTTATCATTATTATTGTCATTTCCATTTTATATGCTGCATGTTTTTGACACTAACTCTATTGTAAATATGGAAAATTTTCTGAGTGATTAATTTTTATTTATAATTTGAGGAAATTAGATGCAATATTGTGATTAATGCTGAAAATTCCATTCTGTATCACAAGTACTGTTTTTGGAATCCAGTAAACCATTATTATTATTATTATAAAAAATTTTTTTGTATTTCCCAGTGAATGAAAAACAAAACGATATTGTTTTTACTGACGTTTCGCTACTTAATTCTAATCGTTTCTCAAAGTATTATTAAACCGGAATTTACAAAATCTCAGCATATATATAACAAAGAGTTAGAGTGTGAGAATATATTTCGCAATCTACACTTAGTTTTGTTTTCTTTATCAATTTACCAACTTGACAATCGAAAATGACATCAGACTAACAAACCATGATCAAGTTAGTAAACTTTATTTTGATATCATAACAGATGTACTATTACCTTTGATATTTGGTTTAGTGATCTTCATTGTTATTTTGACTTTCAATATGCCCTTTTAACTTGACCTAAGTCTACTTTCTCACCCCCTAACTCTTTGTTATATATATGCTGAGATTTTGTAAATTCCGGTTTAATAATACTTTGAGAAACGATTAGAATTAAATAGCGAAACGTCAGTAAAAACAATATCGTTTTGGTTTTCATTCATTGGGAAATACAAAAAACGTTTATTATAATAAATATTGTGGCATTTTGGATGGGAAAGGAATATACTACCTACGACAGGAGAATAGATGACTTTCAATATATGCAGAAGTGAATCAAAGCCGGAGACACATTTCGCGTACATTTACGTGAATGTTAACACAATGGTATCACAAATGTTTCACAGCTATAACCGTGGACTCCTCCATTTACCCGGAAGCATATTATACAATGACACGATTTGTCAGCCTTGAAATCTTGTTTAACAGATTCGGGCGGGATATTGACATGTGATTTTCTATTCGACGTTTCAGGTTTGAACGTAAACCAGTGTTTGGCACTGATTGAAGGGCCGCTTTCCTGTCAAATTTAGTCTCTTGTTTTAATACTACTTCTGTTTCTACTACTAATGCCACCAATACTACTAATTCTGTGACAAATACCTGGCAGTGACTATGAGTTAGGTCAACTAAATAGGTCAAACTGGTAGATCAGGAGTAGTCAGATTATCAGAACATAAGAATTAGGCCACGGTTATAATGATAAGTAATTGAGAAAAAACTTAGAAATCGCACTGCATGCTTTAACACTCAACCACACAGTAGGGTGGGTGGGACAGAGTCGAAATTCTAAAAAGACATATAGGTAGGTAGGTAGGTAGGTAGGTAGGTGGAGACAGAGATTGATTACCGAATCCTGGTTCATCGAGTCTACACCCAACACATGCAATAGAAGTAACTCAGTGCAAATACCAGATATATGGAAGATATTACTACCAGTCAAACCAGAGGAGGATAATAAATAATGTTAAAATGCATTCAATTCACATTATAACATTCTAACATGCTACTTATTTTTACTGTGTAGGAAAACATCTTATTTCCTATCTTAATGACTAACAACACTCGTCTTATTTCCCATCCTATTGTATTTTATTGATAAAACTGGTATTATTTCCAAATGTGCTTTATCTTCCTTTCCGTTTCACTCAAGTCTTATATTGGTTCTCTTCAAATGTCTGATCAACTGATCAAGGAAGCAAGAATGACATGTGAGTGCGTTGATGTGATCATGAGCAATAAATTGTACTCGAAACGTCATCAGTAAATATTAGTGTATGACACTGTGTGACTTTGTGAAAATAAAGTTTTATCCATAATCAGATTATACCACACCAGTGTGTCTAAATTTTATGTCCTTATATGAATAACTCTCTCACCTTGATTATTGGCGAAATTCTCTGATATCCGAGTGAATCTTGCGTACTTGGAACAAGATTGGATCTGTGCTTCGGAATACACACGCTTCCATACAGTCTGTTCTGTGATTTTCTGGATGTCCAAAGATTATTGTTATTATCATCAGGATACTCGTCATTCAATGTTGTGTCTGTGTCAGCGCGAAATCTACAAGTGGAAATCGAGATTGGGACAAAGTATCCATTGAGAATATAGGAAATCTTGAATAGCTGAGAGTTTACGAGAGTTGTTTTAAAGCAGTTGGAGAGACCGACCTATTGAAGCTTGCCATTTCGATTCTTCTAGACGATGACGTGACTTCTAGATTTTCACATATGAAGCGATCCTAAAATGCACCACGATGTATTTCTTCAGTCGTGTGATCGCAGAAGGACATCCTGGAGACTTTTATTGAATCTCAGTGACAATACACTTCGCCCCTCACATAGAAATACTTATCTTAATGACGATAATTCCTACAAATATTTTGAGATAATAAGTCAGCTGTGATGAACTTGGTTGTGGCGTGTAACATGGATATTATTATCTAGGTCGAAAGACGAGTGGTTGGAAGATTACTTGATCATCCTCAGACGGACAAAAGTGGGCAAATTCTGGTTAAATAATGGTTAAAATCTGAAATTATTGGGTGTAGTAATGGTTTAAATCGGTGAACTGCTGTCACATAACCAAACATTCACCCATTTGTTTTCTTACTACTGTCCACGACAATCATTCGTCTATTATCTACCACTTTTGTCCGATCGGGTGGGTAAGATCGATAGAATGAAGAACCTGAATTGAGCGAGATTGGTTGTCACAATTTCAAAATTCTCCCGTCCTCTAGTCTCCTCTGTATTCATTCAACACCTGGTTAAATAATATCAACGCGGACGACAATAATAATTTCCCATTGTTCATGACATGCTTGTCACTTGGGATGCTCTGGACAACCTCAGAACTCCTCGTCTACGCTTACCATCTCTAGCCTATCCTTACTTAAGATGGTACAACCTTCGTCAGAGCTTGTCACTGTAGTATTTTCCATACAATACGACCGGTTTCACTGTTATGCATGAATTTGACTGACACGACAATGTCAGTTTACTTGTCTCTTTCTCTCCCTCTTTCTCTATTCAGGTATCGCCAGAACACATTCACAAGAAGTCATTCAGAATTGTTAATATGGAAAGTGCAGAAGAGTACCGAAAATCAGAATACTGAATGATCATGGAGTTGGAAATATTCCATATTCAAATAATGTTTTGGGCGAATCCTCCTAATACGTCCTACGCGTCATTTCTAATGCCTGTTAGAAACCGATCAATGTGGTGGTTTCCTTACTAATAATTATTGATCAACTGTCTGACTATATCTTCATCCAATGGCTTCAATCTATCGCTTGAATTCACATCCGATGACAAGAGTATCACTGAAGTCTGAGTTCTACAGAATACCTCCATGTAGACACAACACAAAACTTTGAAAAATAGCACCCAAAAGAATTAACATCCAGTGAACAATAAATAACTAAATGAGTCAAATCAATCACTTACCGCTTATTCTTCTCTGACTCTCCTCTCTTCCCTTCAAGTGAGTTACATTCTCCATTAGTAGTCCTCTTTTTATTCCTGAATGATCTATTTAATGGTCTTGAGTCTTTTAAATTTCCATTAAGTTTCCTTTTCGGCCACTTGAAACATAAACATAAATTTCCACAAAAATCTTTCCGTGTGTTTTGTGAAGGCAATTCACGCATATTCGTGTCAGTTTTAACTTTGAATGTTTAATTTCAAATGTAATTACTAGTAGCCACAAGGGCAGTTCATCAATAACCTCGAAATGAATGACCTATCAAAACTTTGCATTTGGTTTTTGACATAGTTTTAGGAGACTTAAACTAAATAATCGTAGTTCAGTTTGAGCAGTTCACCTGTTTGTTGTCTTCATATGACCTAATGTAATGCGGTTAAATATTTTCAAACTTACAAAAAGGTCATTTGAATCATAACAAGAATGAATGACTGGTTTTCAAAATAGAAAGGCATATTTTTCAACCGAACACGTGACTTATGACTAAAAGACACAAATGAAGAAATTCAAACTCGACAAGAACAATTTCAGGCCAACATATATTTTCAAGTATTTGTTTTGTAGTGAATTTTTCGTTTGATTGGTTGGAGGATTTCATCATGAGCTGACATCAATTAGAACCCTGGTGGATGCATACTGATGAAGAGTCCCAAACTAGGACGAAGCAGCTGTCCAGTACTCACAGCTTTTCCAACGGTTCTCCAACTGATATCAATCAGCTCATGATGAAATCCTCCAGCGAGTCAACATATAATTCATTAGGTGTTATCACTGATTTAGGTTTCAGTTGTAACGAAGAGCAATGAATAAAAAAATGACATGTGATAAAAAAAACGTCGAAGATAAATTTTCACCATTCAGGTATTACAGCAAAGTACAGTGTGCTGGCTGGAAATTTACTACTACTACTAACAACAATTTCCACTAATTATACAGTGTGGAATTTTCAGCATTTGGTACAATACTGCATCCAATTTTATTTATGAACGCTAGAAACAATTACAGAGATAATATTACAGGATTGTTGATGGCAGTTCATATTTGGTATTTGTAGTGACAGTGAAGTCATTTTATCATTGTTGTAGTTAGAAAGACATGGAATCATCTCCACAGTTACAAATTCGTGTAATATAAATGTCTGTCGACAATCACATACATGTGCATACCCCACAATGAACAGTGCCACTTTTCATTGATTAGCGTTCCGAGTAGGACATAGGGCTTCAAGCTTGAGCTCTGAAGTTTCAGTAGCGAGGTGGCTTTTCAGGGGTGAGATTAATGGCCTCATGACCAACCTTCCCTAATCACCGAACCTACTATCTGTTTAGCAAGGTTTAGGATTGCTTCGACCGAGGAGCGAACCTGAAATAAGCAAGGGTCAAGTTGGTATGCCGTCCAGATGGTGCGTACTACAGGACTGATCCCTGGAAGAACAATCCCATTCCCGAACTCAGTATTTCACGTAGAACTGTTTACACTGAGGTATTCGTTGAGAAATGTGAAGTATTTATTCACGGGTCCCTCTATGCAAGAAAGTTATATCCACAGCTTCCTGCTAAACGTCCTTAACCAAGTAAAATCACAGTTCAGCTCACTTCACAGAGGACTAAATCACATTGGCAATCATTCAGCCTCCACTCAGTCAACATGTGTTTCCGTTCAGACTGTAATCACCTACTGACACCACCAGGAGTATTACGTAATTTTTAATTTCCCAATATTCCACCTGGTTGAACTGTGAGAACATTCACATTCTCATGCCTCCTTTATAAGTTACTTCACTCTTCGCATTGTCGACTATTCACCACTTTAGAAAGACGTCATTATTGTCATTACTACTGCCGTTCATCGTGTAATGTTCACCTCATGTGGTCGATATATGAGTCATTACGAGTAGTTGAAGTTGTGAATTCATGAACATTTGTGTGCAGATGTATATGTGTATATACACCGAGAGATGTACAGACTGATGAGAACATAATGGGAAGGCGATCTGTCTGGTAAGATGGTATCATCATCCTTTATAACATATCACAATGCTCCCTCTAATCTTATGAGACTTTTCAATGAAATGTCAGGAGAGTTGCACAGTTTTGCCATCGATACTAAAAGTATGGAGGTGATGATATCCAAGAGGCACAAATCGATAATTTGCAATGGCGTACAAGTGGAGCAAACAAATATTTGAGTTGTTGGAATGCCACACCTCACTGGTACCAAAGACACCACGTCGAATTCAGAAAGCCGACGCACCGGAAGTCCGTAGAACTGCAAATATTCCCTTTCCTATCTTTCGAACAAGTCACTTTGAAATAGATAAATGAATATATAAATAAGCAAAACATGATAAGAATGCATCAAAGACATGCGTACCATCAATTCTTCGTGTCAAACTCATTTCAAACAAGAAACCAGAATGTCGTAGACTTGCACATATTCCCTTTCCTTCAACCGAACATGTTCCACCAATACTTGAATTTACAGTTGTCCGAGTATCGCTTGCTACTGATTAACTCAACGATTCTTCACACAGGGAACTATTTATCCTCCATTCACACTGTGGTAATGCTCTTTATGTCGAGGAGCAAGGGAGAAATGACTCAGCTTCACTACTGAATCATTTCGAACGAAAAATCCACAACACAAAAGTTAGTTCTTGTGTTTTCACAGGTTAGGTTGATGCCATGTTGGGGAATTGTGACAAGTGGACTTCTAATTATCGACGGTAGGACAGAGAGAAAGGTGCATCCAACATCCGAAACAGGTTTCAGCACAATATATTTTCCACCAGTCCCATACATTATATGAGACTTAAATCTCAAAATGTTGACAAGCATATCATCAAAATATTCCCCTATAATACCCATCCAACAATTACGACTACTCCGTGTGGACAAACGGAAATTCATTATTCTGATATTTCCATCATGAATTTTCCTCACCTATACCTATATACTACTGTATAAGCAGTCGAGTAGCATTTTCACTACTGAGTCCAAATACTCTACCACACGTCTCAGTAGACCGACCCATTCCATAACCAGTCTGTTCATCAACGGACATGTTTATGAATATTGAATCACACTAAGCATCTGACACAGACTACCATGATTCATTAGGCAGTGAATTCGGGTTTATTTCTACAAATATCTTTCTGCTCATTCAATCGTGGAAACAATGTCTTCCCCCAGATGACAGGACAAAATGTAACCATGCTTTCACACGACACCGGCGTGTGTGATTGCTCGTGATTGCACCGTCATACACTTTCACTGGCCACTCCTCCACTATTGTATGTCATATATCCACAGACTCTGAGTATCAGTTGACTAGATGTAGCATTGAGTTCACATGGTCTGGAATTCAGTGTAAAACAGTGTCACCTAGCTGGATGGATGGACTTGGATGTGTGGATTTTCGGGATGAACCTCTTCTCACCACTTTTCAACATCCTGTCTGTTAGCCAACAGAAATGTTAGAATTTCCGCTACACCCAATGGATGATTTCATTCTGATTCATAATGGTCGGCAGTTTGACACCGTATTACACACGTCGTCTGTTGTATTGCGATTTG